TGAAACCAGTTATTTCACTTTCCAAGCCACGGTGTCTACTCTTCCAAGCCGCTACTCCACAAATACCAAGGATTTTTTTTATTCTAAAGAGGAGTTTGTCTTCTGAAAAAGCCAAAACTTAGGCCATTCTGGTCAGGTGGGCCTGGCAAGAGCTCACCGTTTCACAAACTTCCCTGCTCACAAGAATCACCTGCTAGGAACAGATTACTCCCCAGTGAGCAGCACTGCTTCAGGGCCCTGCTGGGGCGTAGGAAATGAAGTATTCACCCAACACCCAGGTGAATCCCATCATCCAGGGGGATGGGAGTCACGGCCCGCATGGTTCCATTTACCGTGGTCCACCCCAACGCTGATCTCTCCTGCCGTCTCCAACACAGCATAAAGGCACACAAAGACGGGGACTGGAAGAAGTCAGTAGCTGAGTAACTTGCATAAGTGACTGAAACTGCCCTGAGGATCTCTCAGGATTTGGGGCCACCGTCACCCCATTAAACTCACTCCCCCCATTGCCAGGGGCCTGCTTTAAGAAAGCCAGGCCAACAGAGTCCCCGCAGATAACCCCAGTCCTTCCGTCAACACGCCGAAGCTCCAGTTTCCCCAGATAGCTTTCTGGGGTGGAATACTGTTTCCCAGTTTCCAATGTCTTTCTTCTGGGATCTTGGTGCCAGGCCTGAGCACCATCTTCAACTCCAACCTTCTGCCCATACCCAGGTAAGCAGGTTTCCTAAATTCTACCTTGGGATTGGGTTCAGGCCACCATCCCAACCACAGGACATCCCTGATGGCCCTTTCAGGTCCCACCGTCCTGGGCACTGATCAAGGGTCTCTAACTTCATCTTCTGAACCTTTCCTGGAATGCCTAAGCCCTGGTTTAAAAAAAATCAGAGCATGTCCCTGGGTGCCTGATACCTGCGGGATAAACCCCCACCCCGTCTGCTTACTTCCTGCTCCGCCTCCAGAGGTCTGACTCAGGAATTCTGCCCCCACCTGCCTTGGCTTCAGCAAGGTGCCCCTTAAGCTCAAGTTCCCCCACCATCTGGAAAGGTCTGCTCATCTGAACCCCAACAGCACCAAGCCCCGGCTCCACACAAGGGCCTGGCACACGCTGCAATCTTCAGAGCACAGCCTGGACCCTCAGCACCAGTGTCACCTGGCAGATTTGTCCCTGCTGTGACAAACAGACCTGGCCAGAACAATTTTAAGGAGGAAAAGTTAATTTGGGGGCTCACAGTTTCAGAGGTCTCAATCCATAGACAGCAGGCTCCATTCCTGGGGCTCAAGGTGAGGCAGAACATCATGGCGGATGAGGGTAGTGGAGAGAAGCGACTCACGTGATGATCAGGAAGCAGAGTGAGACTCCACTCACCAGATACAAATATATACCCCAAAGGCACGCCCCCAATGCCCCACCTCCTCCGGCCACACCCCACTTGCCATCAGTTACTACTCAGTTAATCCCTATCAGGATGTTAATTCGCTGAGTTTAGGCTCTCATAACCCAGTCATTTCTCCTCTAAGCCTTCTTGCAATCTCCACGTGAGCTTTTGGGGGACACCTCCCATTCAAGCCATAGCACCTTTAATCTGGTAGGAATACTGGTTCCCAGGCCTCACCCTGGACCTACCCAGACCAGACTCCCTGGAGGAGAAGACCAGCAGTTTGCCTCTGCACCAGCCTTGGAGGTGATCCTGATGCCCGTTCAAGTTTGAGGACTACTGGATAATAGTTGAGGCTCTAGGCAAGTGAGTTTCCATTTCTTAGTGACATAGGTGCCAGAAATTCCCCAAGGGATCACCCAGAGTCATCCTTGGAAAAAAGCCAGTCATCTTTCAAGTTGGCTTGGAGCCTTCCTTGGAAAGATAAGCAAGTGTGATTTGGAACCTAGGAAATGGCAGATATCCAACAATTTTTCACCTACAGAAAGAGTAATTTCCTGTGATGCAACCTAATGGTTCTGTTATGGGGAAGCTTGTGTTTTGCAGGTTTAAAGGAAAGGGCTACCCCATCCCTGGTTGGAGGGAAGGGTTCCAAGACACAGCAGGCCTAGAAGCACTCTAGACACAGGTACCCAGGTGGCTGAGCTTAGGCGTCTTTGCTGGGCAGTATGAAATATTACCTGGGGCTAAGCTTCACCTGGGAGGGCAGGATCATCCTCCCTCCAAAATGCAAGGCTGGTCAGAGATGGCAGGGAGCCTCACCCAGCATCTGCAGGGTTTGGACTATGCAGGGCCAAGTTACAACAGCGACACCACGTGGCAACCAGGAAGCAAAGCAGTTGAGCTGAAGGGACCCCAAGCTCCTTCTGTTTGAGTGGAGAACGTACCCCCTTTGGGGAAGTGTAAACCCTGAGTTCTAGTATAATTCAAAGGCAGAAGGAACCCTCGGGGCCAAGCAAAGGACTTCCTGCTGCCAAGACAGATTATGTGATGGTCTAAGCCTGTTTCCTCATCTGTGGAGTGGAGATGGGCTGAGAGACAAGCCTTGGAAACACCAACATGCACCTCTCTCTGCACTGCTGTCCCTCCRTATCTGCTGGGGATTGGTTCCAGAACCTCTCAGACACCAAAATCCAGTGAAGCCTGATTCCATTACACGCATCCTCCTGAACACTTGCAGTCACCTCTAGACTACTTATCATACCTAACATGGCAAATGTTCAGGACAAATGCAGATTTTTCTGGGATATTTTTGACCCACGGGGCTGGGGACAGTGTGGCCAGACCAACAGGCATCTTATTGGTGATGGTCCCTTTACCATGAGGCCCCAATACACCAGGCCTCAGTGGAGGGGCGTCCCAGTGCCAGCTGCCCTGGGTACGCCCACCAGCCTGGCTGAGCAAGGCCGTGTCACAGGGGAACTGGTTCACAGAAGGCAAACTTTAATTTTGTACACAGAGCCTGTGACATAGTGTCTGGCACACATATGCAATATGAGCATTAAATACGACGGCTATCCTGCTGGTGGCCAAGGCTCCTGTGACTCAGGAGCTGGTGCCCATCTCTCCTCCTCAGGCATCCTGACTTCACATGGGACAGACTCATGGTCAATTCCTGGGGAAGTCGGAGGCCAGCTGCTGGAAATGCAGCCATTTATTGAGGATAATCCTGATTTGTTCTGCAGCGCACAGGGCCTTGCTCCCTCTAGGTAAGCCCTCTACCACTGAGCTGCCCCCAGTCCCAGCGGCCCTGTTTTCTACCCTGAACAGGAAGTTGCTGCTCTGGGCTTGGTCTTGGAAGGCAGCTCTTTTATGCTCAACCTGCACACCAATGAGAGGCAGCTCTTCTTCCAGGCAGAAATGGTTGACTAATAATTGTCTAAAGCTGGGGAATAAGCAAGAAAGGACCTCTGTGCACATCTTGCTCTTCAGTCCACTGTGACACAGGCCCCAGAAAGATGGGGAGAGGGGAAAGCTGGACCCTAGGTCTTAGCCAGCAGTGCTTCCCTTGCACTAGATTCCATAAAAGATAATACCATTCACTGGTTTCATGATCCTTGGAGCCGGTTTAGAGGTCTGATTAGAACATTAAAACTGAGGCTGAGGCAAGAGGATCACAAGTTCAAGGCCAGCCTCAGCAACTTAGCAAGACCCTTTCTCAAAATAAATAAAAAGGGTTGGGGGTATAGCTCAGTGGTAAAGTTCCTCTGGGTTCAATCTCCAGGACAATAAAAATCCTATGTCCTAATACCCTGATTAACAGACTGAACAGGTAACAGCCCCTGGGATTTGGAGAGGCAAGGAGGCGCCACTGTTGGCAGAGGGCAGGGGTCAAAGGTGCTGCTGTTCAAGGCATCATTCCGAGGCCCTCAACAAAGAATAATGTGCCGCCACATTGATCATCATTTCCCTAAAGAAATCTAAGGCTGGGGCCTGGGCGGGGGCTCAGTGGTAGAGCACTTGCTTAGCACATGTGAGGCTCTGGGTTCGATTCTCAGCACCGCATATAAATAAATAAAATAAGGTCCATTGAAAACTAAAAATTACTAAAAGAAAGAAGGAAATCTAAGGCTGATGCTGAGAGGTTCCAAGTATTTCCTGCGGAAACCACACAGCCCAAGCCACCCAGAAAGGAATACCCCCAGGTGTGGCAATTCCTGCCACCAGGGGTCACCAGGGCTATGTACCCAAAGCACACAATGTCGCCTTGAGTTCGGGTTTTGAGGAGCTATTACAAAGCATCTTGCCAGCTCCAGCTCCGAGGTCTGTGACGGGCTCATGGCTGGATTTCTGCGTTGGGTTCCRCGAGCTCCTGTTCATTTGTGCCTTCAGGGCTGTATGATCAGGAGTCTTGGAAGTCCAACTCTGACTGTTCAAGGGGGCTATTCTCGTCTGGGAGTTGGACCCACAAGTAGTTACTAATTAGCTCCAGGGTTTCTGGCCTGTTTTGCTGGGGACTGAGTCTGCCCTGGGCTTGTGAATACCCCCAAAACTATAGGTTCAGAATGTGATGTGGGGAGAGGTCCAGGAGGGAGCCTCGGCAGGGAAACCAGGGCCTGGCTGAGCATCATAACGAGGAGCCACTGACCAATGGCCCAGGGCTCACTGGCCATGTCCCCCTGCCACAGGGTGACCTCGAGGGCTTCTGGAATTCGTCTCCCCGCCTCCCTGGGTGGCTTTAGGAGTGGCTCCCTGAAGCCCCTGTTCCAAGGTCAGGTGCCTACACAGCCTCCAGCCTGGAGCACGGACCCACGTGGTCTCCCGTGTCCTCCTGGAAGCACTGACCTTCCCCATTTTCAGGTCTGACCGTACAGCTGACGAACCTGGAGTGTCRATTACTAACTCCGGGAGTGTGTAATTACTAATTTCACCTGCGGCAGAGAAACCATTACTTTTCTAACCAGTGCAGGTGTGGTCAGCCCTGGGCGGTCTAGCCACGGCCTCACCACGGGGACCTCTCAAGGTGAACAGGTAAATTTCCCAAAGCCAACCAGTGCAAAGCGAATGCTGGAGGGGGAGCAAGCCGGCCATGCCTCGCTGTGTCCACCCCAGGCGGCTCCCTACCTGGTCGAGTCCCTGTGGCCAGGGCTTCCCGGTGGGTCCCCCTGCTTCCCTTTTGTATCCTGACCGTCCTCAGGGGTTTGCGCGGATCCTGGGTTCACAGCTGAAGTCCTCTGAGAAAGAAGAAAGAGAAATYGGGAAGGACCCAGATAAGCATCTACAAAGCGCTGGAACTCTTCTCAAGAGGCCAGTGACCACGACATTGTCACCCAGCGGAGCCCCACCGTGCGCCAGGCACAGAGTTAGGCTTTGAGGATAGGTGGTGAGCAGAGCAAGGCGGCCTGCTCCCATCTAAGGAGGAGAAACACAGGTAGACGGGCCACCCCAGCTGGGCAGCAGGACTCCAAGAGGGTCACCCACCAAGGGCAGAGTCATCTGTTCCCAGCGAAAGTGGAGAGGGTTCATCGAGGACCTGAAAGTGTCCACGCGCCTGTGGCTCCACTCTGCATGGTTCCACTAACCATGACTCAGCTGGAAACCGGCGGGGGTGGGGGACTGGCAGAGAAATGGGGCCTTGCAATGCTGGGTCAGCCCCACTGGGCTGCTACCCTCTCACACACCAGGTCACCTTTTCTTTCACTCCTTCAATAAGCACGTCCCCTGCTGATTTTTAAGACCAAGATGCAAAAATCAGGCTTGGTTAAAACTTCAAATCTCAGGACCAAAAGAGATGAGATCTTTTAAACACTCAATTTAAATGATGTTCACTGAAACATAGCACAAAATTCAGGAGAGGGAAAAGGTTTTTTTTCTCTATTTTTAAACCCAAACCAAATTTTCAAAAGCAGTGGTTGACTTTTATTTGTCTTCCCCGCAGTGTCCTGAGCCCCCCTCTTTTCCCCCACCAAACAACCCACACCCCTTACTCTGGGACTATCTGTTTTCAAAGAACTCTTCTACCTGTCTTCTGTCCCCAAGGTCTCATGAAAAATGCCATCCCAGAGCCCCCACCCGCACCCACTGGAATGTGGACAAGACTCAGGCCAGTCCCCCAGGACTCCCTGGAGAATCGGGACCATGGGGACCTGGCCCTGGGCTCTGTAGAAGCGAATGCAGGCGTTACTGCCTCCCCTGCTCCTGGTCACCAGGGCAGAAGAGCCAGGAGAGCTGGCAGGTAGGGGGAGCCCAGTGGAGAGGCGGGGGAGAGGGTCCTGCTGGTGCCGAGGCCTCGTTTTGTGGGGCCCTGGGGTCCAGCCTCGTTCTGCCCCTTCTGTCAGAGGTCATGGGATGAGGCCCTGCACTCCCCTTTTGACCCCGGTGAGCACGGGTTGGATCTCTTGTCACCTGCAATCCAAAGAGTGCATCCATAGATCACAGAGGAGTTTTGAGGGGAGGGAGGTGCCACACTGCAGAGCCCTCTTAAGAAAGTCACCGTTGTGCGTTGACACATTCAAAGTTCTGAGAGGTGAAACAGCTGGTTAGATTTTAACTCCCCGTTTCTTGGCAGGGGACCCTTTGTTTATGTCCCGCCTGTTAAGGACTCTCGAGCTCGGGTTGCCTGGGACACACCGTGAAGGCAGTGAGCACCAGACCTCACTTCTTGCTACCTTGCTTAAATCTGGCAACTGATTGAAACCTGCAGAACAGGACATTCCCTCACCTGTGGGTGCCCTTTGAAACTAGACGGTGGCACTCTCCTGAGAGCACGGCTTGGGAGCCCACAGTACCTCTGTGGGAGTTAGAAGCAGCTTTCCCTACCCCGAGGGGCTGTAGCTCAGGCCTGGGCACTTGGCTTGTGGGGTACCCGGGCAAAAAAAATCCAGAGTCCCAGCAGCTGGTGGAGAACGTGGTGGTGGAGGCAAGAGCAGCTCCTCCCGCTCTGTGGGGCTCCTTCCTCCTTGTGGCTGGAAATCTCCCTCCAGTGAGGGGTTCTGTTCCCCAATGTGACCCAGAGAGAGGCCCACTCTGGCCACTGGGGCATCTGGAGATCCTCGTGAGCTAATCCACTCACCCACTGGCCTGGTGCAGTGGTCATTTGATGACCATCTCTTTCGACATCTTCCAGAAAACAACATTCGAATCATTGATTTTGACGGCTTCAATCATCCAGGGAACATTCATCCAAAGCCCACCGTGTGCTCGCGTGGGGGCCACAGAGGGGACCAAGGCTCCACCCCGCCTTTGTGTGCCCACAGTTGAGGGTGGCAGACCCAGTACCATCGCCACCAGGGGTGACCACAGAGGACAGCCCCAAAGGTCACAGGTGTGCCTCCTGCCTGGAGAGTGGCTCCCAGCCTCCTGGGCCCCCAGAAGGGGGGACCCCCAACCTCTGTAACCTCTCGGTGGAATTCTGTGAATTAATTTTGGAGTTTCTGTGGGACCCCAGAGTGCAACCCCAGAGTGCCCCAGCCTGTGCCTGGGGCTCTTTCTGGGATCCTGACTCTCCTGTTGGACGGACCTGACCTTCAGGTGCTGGCCTGAAGAGCCGGCTGGCTTGGCCTGTGTCTCCTGGCCCATTTTTCTGAGAGGTTGGCCAGATTCCTGCGATTGTGACCAAAGGTCAAACGTAAAGGATGTCCCAGCCTCGGGAGGCTCACAGGGTCCGGTGCTAATGAACACTCCAGCGGGAAAATCTCCCCCACTGTAGCGGAAGGGGGGTGTGGGCAGCAGCAACAATCATCAGAGCTTTTGCCCTGGAGCAACTGCTAGGGGCCAGCGCTGGGCCAGTACCTCTCCATGAACTGTCACCTGGAATCTTCTCATCCTGGAAGGAAGATGGAGCTCGTGTCCCGTTTACAGCAGGGCTTCGGAGTTTCAACTCCTTGGCTGAGATCACCCAGCAGCGGTCTGAGTGGACAGAGTCTGAGTGCAGAGCCAGGGCGGGTTCTCTCTCTCCCTGATCTCCTGGGCCAAGAGGGGAGAAGGAGGCAGAGAGAGCCGGGTGGATTTCTCACCCCAGCGGGGCTGCTGACCCCGGCCTGGTGTGACCTCCCTGCTGGCTGAACCACTCCCTACAAGGGGAGTCCTGTCTCCACGCTGCAGGGCCTCAGCCCCTGTCTGTGTGTCCTGGAGGGCATTTGCCCCGGAGCACAGTATCAAGACAGTTAAATCCAAGCTCCCCCCTGGATGCTTCAGAGGTAGGTTCCCTAACTAGAGAACACCAGGCCTTTGGGTGCGTGGTTTTCATATTATAACTCAAGAATCACAGACGGAGTGAATCTGAATAAGCCTTGTCTTACCCATTTGATTGTCAGAAAACCTGACACCTTCAGCTGCCTCCCTTCTAATCACCACGTGATCGTCACTGAATAATGTACAAATAATTTAACAGATAAATGTCCTGCCCAGGATTCCACAACCAAAGTTTCTTTCTTTCTTTCTTTCTTTTTTTTTTTTTTTTTTTTTGGTTTCAGGAGCACTTAACCACCAAGCCATATCCCAAGCCGCTTTTTATATTTTATTTAGTGACAGGGTCTCCCTAAGTTGCTTAGGATCTTGCTAAATGGCTTAAATTACTGACGCTGGCCTTGAGCTTGCAATCCTCCTGCCTCAGCCTCCTCCGTTGGGATTACAGGCATGTGCCACTGAGCCTGGCCGATCAGTTTCTTTAAATTCTGGAAAGATGTCAACATATCCAGCAGCCCTGACGGACACAAAGGACAGATGGAAAGAGGAGGTGGAAGGGGAACACAGTGAGGGCTGCAACCTGACCTGTCTCTAAAGAAAACAGGGAGAATTTCTCCCTTTTCAGCGTGTCCCATCTTGCTGCTAGAAAGCTAAGCGGCGTTCCTGTTGTTCCTACACCAGCTATCTCCAGCAGAAACAGATTGGGACAGAGTTAAAAGCAACAGGGCAGAGGATGTGGCTCAGGGCAGAGTACGTGCTTAGCCTGCGCAAGGCCCTGGACTCCATCCCCAGCACCAAAAATAAATCAACCAGTGGCACACTGCTCTTTTCTTTTAAATATTTATTTCTTTTAGTTGTACACAATGCCTTTATTTTTATTTATGGATTTATTTTTATGTGGTGCTGAAGATGGAACCCAGGGCCTCGCACACACCAGGCAAGCGCTCTACTGCTGAGCCACAATCCCAGCCCACACTGCTCTTTTCAAAGTGCTTTGAATCCCCTCTGATTCTTACAAAATCCCTGCTGACTAAACAGGTTGTTAAAAGAGTATTTTCCCTTTATCAGATGAGATACAGGTGACTTGCCCAGGTGTTCTGCCTTGAAATCCAGCGTTCTTTCTCAATAACACTCAACACTTAGCTAACATGTGTCTGCTATAACAGCAAATGTATTACTCAGTGTCCAAGTACTGTTCTTTCAAGTGCTTTACATCTTTTTAAAAAAATATTTTGTTAGTTGTCAATGAACCTTTATTTTATTTATTTATTTGTGGTGCTGAAAATCAAACCCAGTGCATCACACATTCTAGGCAAGTCTCTACCACTGAGCCACAACTCCAGCCCTGCTTTACATCTTTTTAAAAAAATATTTTGTTAGTTGTCAATGAACCTTTATTTTATTTATTTATTTGTGGTGCTGAAAATCAAACCCAGTGCATCACACATTCTAGGCAAGTCTCTACCACTGAGCCACAACTCCAGCCCTGCTTTACATCTTTTTAAAAAATATTTTTTAGTTGTAGATGGACATAATGCCTTTATTTTATTTATTTACTTTTACGTGGCACTGAGGATCAAACCTAGTCCCTCAAACATCCTAGGCAAGGGCTTTACCAGTGTGTGCTACGACCCCAGCTCCAGTGCTTTGCATCTTTAAATTCATTTAATTCTTAAAACCCTACTTTGCAGATAAGAACACGCATGAGAGCACAGAGAGGTTAAGCCACTTGCCCAAGGTCACACAGGTGGAAAATGGTGGAGCCAGGATTTGAACCTGAATGGGTTGACATCCAATTTATGCTGCTTTACCATACAGTGGAAATGCTGGCTTTATGGTCTCTGCCATCTTGTTGCTGTGCTCCAAGTAACTAAAACAAGTGGACATTTATGAATAATGCGGCACAACTGCCTAGATTTGATGCCTAGAATAGTACCTGGCACAGAAAAGGCAGTCCATAAATAATGGTTGAATTTATGAAAAAAAGACTCTCATTTGGCCTGGCAGCCACTTCTGAGCCAAGGGGAGCACACGCAGCCCTCGGGTG